AGTCCAGATAAATCATATGGGAATGTGACTGGTGGAGGGATGATAGGTCAGTATTATTATAGTTTTCTTTCTGCTTAAGTATTTTTCTATTATTTTAAGAAAAGCTGGCAGCCAATAGTACTCTTTGGAATATTTTTTGACTCATCTGACACAGTCAAGTGACATATACAAATTTGTTTTCCACCTTTTCAGTAATTGGCTCCATCCAGTTTCCTCTTTTTATACTTAATCTGCGTGGATCTCTTAGCTCTGATGGCCAAAGCCTTGGGAAGCCAATAGTGAATGGTAATAGATCTTTGGTCGGCGGAGTTGGTGGAGGTTCTGGTGGGACGATTCTTCTTTTCCTTCAGATGCTTGAGCTCTCAAAGAGTTCATCTCTATCAGTTCAAGGGGGCCGGGGTGGCCCTCTTGGGGGTGGTGGGGGTGGAGGGGGGAGACTTCACTTTCACTGGGACATGTTACACACTGGGGACGAGTATTCTCCTGTTGCTACTGTCAAGGGGTCCATTAGCAGTAGGTATGTACCATTTTCATGATAATTGTAGCAATCTCTCTTGCGTGCTTGCTACCTTTTGGGTAATTTGTTGTTAGTTTGCTACCAGTGTAAAGCATGCATATAAATGTTGATTTAGTACTAGCATCACCATGAATATGAGAGGATAATGGCATCTTAGTGTTTGAATCTTGAGACTCTGACTGTACTATTTTCCTTATGCAAATTTTGGAACATATCTTGGAACTCTGTGGAATCTGACAAAGAAGTTTTTAATCTGCAAAACGTGTGTTCATGAACGTTAAACACAGACCTTGAGTCACTTGTTTTCTTATGTCTTCAGAGGAGGTGCAGGGGACAATGGAGGTCGTTTCGGGGAAGAAGGAACAATGACTGGGAAAAAGTGTCCAAAGGGACTATATGGTACATTTTGTTTGGTAAGTCTTATGATTTATTTTGTCGTAGTTGCTTTGTTGCTAGCCATTTATGTCCTAGTTTTTTTCCAATTCTGCTTAGCCCTTATGTCAGTAAATTAATGGACATTACAAACCTACAAAATTAGACAGTCCCAGTATTGATTTTCTAGCATAAATGCAAATCTCTGCCTTGTTTACCTGTGCCTGATGCTCAATATTTCTGGATCCATGTATTCTAACAGGAATGCCCCATTGGCACTTACAAGAATGTTGAAGGTTCTGACAAACGTCTTTGTACACCCTGCCCACCTGAGCATCTTCCAAGTCGTGCAAAATTTGTATATGTACGAGGTATTTTATCTAACAGTTCTCTTGCTCTTCCATCCCCTGTTATTTTGTTTCTTCTTAATTGGATATCTTTTGACGGAAGGAGCTTTGAATCTGCAGGAGGAGTTAGCGAACCTGTTTGTCCTTATAAATGTGTATCTGACAAATACAGAATGCCAAATTGCTATACACCTCTGGAAGAGCTTTTCTATGCATTTGGAGGGCCATTTCCCTTTGCTCTTCTCCTATCTTGTGTTGTGGTAGTTTTGGGTCTATTGCTAAGCACATTAAGTATCAAATTGCTCAGATTGAGTTTCTATGGTGCCAACTCCATCGAACACCAGAGTGCTCATTGTTTACCCCATCTTCTGTCACTCTCTGAGGTATCGGGTTGCGAAATTTCTCTTTTCCCAAGTCTTGTATTTTCTCTGTACTACGTACGGATCCAGTAACTGTCAACCAAACTCTAAAGCCAGTTTCTTGTCATTCCAGGTTCGAGGTGCAAAATCTGAGGATACGCAAACCCATGCTTACCGTATGTATTTCATGGGTCCAAACACTTTCAGGGAACCTTGGCATCTGCCTTATTCTCCTCCTGATGCAATCATAGAAATAGTGTAAGAATATACTTGACTGCCTTAAATTCTGTTGTGATTGTTTTCGTTCAATGTTTGATGAAGTGTTTAACTAACCTGTTGGCAAGATTAAGAAAGAATCTATATTGTGCTACTTATTTATAACAAGTATTTCTTGAAGTGGTGACCATGTATGACATTATCCCGAGTCTATTTACTTCACTTCACTCTTTGCTCTACAATGTCATGGCTCACTTTATTCCTAGTCATGTCCTCTCATCTGTACGTTTTCGATTCGCAGGTATGAAGATGCTTTTAACAGATTTATTGATGAGATCAACTCCACTGCAGCATATGATTGGTGGGAAGGCTCTGTCCACAGCATTCTATCAGTTCTTGCAAATCCTTGCGCCTGGTCATGGAAACAATGGCGTCGCAGGAGAAAAATTCACCGCCTTCAAGAATATGTCAAATCTCAATATGACCATTCTTGCCTCCGATCATGCAGATCTAGAGCTCTCTATAAAGGGATGAAGGTTCGGGTTCTTATCAACTAATATCCTTAATTCTCCACTGCTATGTAGCTTTGACTTCTCATTTTGACTGTCTGTGTCCAACGCTGAACCAGGTTGGAGCCACTCCGGATTTGATGGTTGCGTACATAGATTTCTTTCTTGGCGGTGATGAGAAGCGTGTAGATATGGTCTCTATTATACAGAAAAGATTCCCAATGTGCATCCTTTTTGGTGGAGATGGAAGTTATATGTCACCTTATAGTCTCCATAGTGATACACTGTTAACAAATCTTCTTGGCCAAGTTAGCTTATCTCTCTCTCTGTTTTTGTTTTTCCAAAATCTTCGCTTTGAAAAATCTCCTAAAGGCTCCAAATCACTATTGCAGCACATCCCACCAAGTGTTTGGCACCGGTTTGTTGCCGGTTTAAATGCTCAACTTAGGACTGTGAGGCACGGATCTATTCGTTCAGCATTACTTCCTGTAATTAGGTGGATAAATAGCCATGGAAATCCTCAACTCGAATTCCATGGAGTAAGAATTGAACTTGGATGGTTTCAAGCTACAGCTTCAGGATACTACCAACTCGGTATCTTGGTTTTTGTTGGCGATTTTCCTCTGAACACTGTAGACCAATCAATTTCATTCAGAAGTGACGATGAGTCCCCTCGGTGAGCCATAATAGATTGTGCTTCTCTTTGATAGAACCTAATTGTGTCTTGTGTTGGACTTGAAGACTCAACCTGCTTAATCTTGACTCCATTATCTAGGTCTGCATGTCCCAGTAAATCTCTTATCGAGTTGCAACAAAACTTGATTCAACCAGGACATGGGTTATCTCGAAAGAGAATCAATGGTGGGATCAATGGAGGCCTCATCAATGAGATTTCACTAGATTCTCTGGAGTACAGAAGGGATTTACTTTTTCCATTTTCTCTCTTATTGAACAATACTCGACCCATTGGGCGTCAGGTTACATTTTCTTCTCTCCTGAATAACTCATGTGGTTTGCTTTGTTTTGTTTATTTGTACTTTTGTGTTAACATAAGCAAAAAAATTTCTTGTGCCTTATGCAGGATACTCTTCTCCGTTTGATCTCCATCCTTCTCCTTGCTGATCTATCAGTAACGCTACTTGCATTACTGCAGTTCTATTGGCTTGCCCTTGCAGCCTTTCTTGCTATCCTCCTGATTCTCCCCCTCTCTCTGCTTTGCCCATTCCCTGCCGGTCTTAACGCGTTATTTAGTAAAGAAATGAGAAGAGCCTCACTTACTCGTATCTACGGCCTTTGGAACGCTACATCTCTAACAAACGTCGTAAGTTAATACCAAAGGTGTTCAAAAAACAAGTGCCCTCATTTTTTTCACTAGTGTATCTTATTCGCATGTACTGTATTCTGCAGATTGTGGCTTTCATTTGCGGTGTCATTCATTCCGGGTTTTTCTCTGAAGAGATACCAAACATCTGGAACGCCATAAGGTAATCAAAAGTGTCTTTGTCTCTCCTATTCAGATTCACAAGTAACGTAAATTTTTGGATGTTAGATTTTGATCTCATGAAACTAATATTCAGCATCCATACTATAATCAGTCTTAACCTTAACCCCTCACATTTTGTTGGAACTAGAGACATACTCGTGATCGTCGCTGTTAGATGATTGGTTTTGTTTATTGAACATCAAACTTCTTTATTCGTTGGCCATATATTGAGTACAACAATCTCTTATGTTATGTGGCAGGGATGATGATAAATGGTGGGTATTACCAACAATCCTCTTGTTGCTCAAGTCAATACAAGCTCGGTTCCTTGATTGGCACGTCGCAAATCTCGAAGTACCGGACTTTTCTCTTCTTTGTCCTGATCCAGATACCTTCTGGGCATATGAATCAGGTGCTTGACCATCCAAAGATAATCAACATCGTTATAAAGAAAGTCAAGCAAAAGGTATAATCTTATTTTTCATGTAAATCTCTTAAAAGGTACAAAGTTGTTCTCAGTGATAGTTGTTAAAACAGTTATCTAGAACATCTGATTATATATTTCTGGTGCCGAATTAGGGTTTTACCAGATGAATGGTAGTTGTAGGAACTAGAGAGAGAGAGAGAAGCTGTAAGTTATGTAATGCTTTAAGTTTTGCAAACATGGAGATTTAGAATACAGTGGAATCCTATAACCAAAAAATTTAACTGATATTTTTTTTTTCCCTTTTTTATACATATAAACTCTAAAATCGAACTTTAAATTTAGAAAATCAACAGATCCCTTCTATTTTTCTTTTAATTTCTATAAATGAAACCAATGCATTTTACAATCAAATATATTCTTGTAGCTTTTGTAATTGTAAATATATATACATGATGATTATCAGTTTTATTTTTGGTTACTGTTTTTCTAAACAGAAGAATTCAAATCAAAATATGTTTCCTTTTATCTATTAAAACTTTTTACTTTCCTTTTTTCTTTATTGGCTGGATAAATAATGGAAATTTAGTTGTCTGATTCGATCATATCTAACCATGGTAAAAATTGGTTTTGATAATAATTTTTTTTGGTGGAGATATAAAAAAGTCAAATCCTTTTCTCATTGGGTCATTGTCATTGGTTTTGATTCTTATATATATTGTGAACAAAGCTTTCTCCTCCCTCTCTTTTTATTTTATTGTTCATTGGGTAAAAATCCTTTTGGCTATTTTCTAAGTAACAGCATGCCTAAGGTTAAGAAGCATCGTAATTCTCAACGGCGGAGAGAAGAAGAACAGGGAAAGCTTTCTTCTCTGTCCCTCGCTGAACTCCTTAGCTATCGTTCTAAACAACACGAACAAGAGGCTATGAAGAGGAGAAACTGCCTTTACTGGTCTCAGCTTCCTCCTGATCTGATTCACTCCATTATCAAACGACTCAACCTCCGCGATTTGCAACGAGCTAAACACGTTTGTTCGTCTTGGCTCTCTGCTTCCAGATTTTGCTTTCCAAAATCCCAAGTCCCATGGTTAATTATATTCCCTAATAATGACGACATGAACATGAATCGCTTATGCTGTAAGTTGTTCAACCCCGAGGAAAAAGACAAGTTGTACAACACAAGTCAAGATCTAGGCGTCGGTGGAGTTTGTGTTGCCACGTATGGATGCTGGCTCCTCATGCGAAACCCTCTCTTTAATCTCTATATCGTTAACCTGCTAACAGGCCAGAGGATAGATCTACCGCCAGTGGAATCACAACTTGGTAAGACAAAACTCGAGCGCATAGTAGATGATAAGTTCCACGCTACGCGGCTGATAGGTTCTCAGTATTACCAAGCTGATTCTACTGGCTTCGAAATCAATTCCCCTCGGCTATGGATAGACGAGGAAGCAAAAGACTATCTAGTTATATTCACTTTCAGGATATTCATGTGGTCGTTTCACACACAGTATGCCCTTATCTGCAAGAAAGGAGACGATCCCTTGTGGAGAGAGTTTCCCGACGGCTCTCCCTGTTCTGATATGGTATACAAGCACCAGAAGCTTTACGTTTATCGCTATGGTGCTATCAAAATATTTGATTTCTCTCGAGACCTTCCCATAAAAGCTACTGAGATTGATGATCATGTCTACGTTGCTTTATTCTCCTTTAACGATTATCGTAGTGAGCCTTTCCTAGGACTTTGCGTTGTTAAGAAGACTAACATTGTGGTCACAGTAAGTGACCATGTCCTGATGGTCGTGAGCCTAATGACATGCGGCAAAACCTGGTCATTCCGCATATACGAGATGTGTTCACGGACGAACAAATGGGAGAGGCTTGATTCTTTGGGTGGTGAGGCAATACTTTTGGATATGGGTGTCACTGTGCCTGCCAAAGATGTTGAGGGAATCAATAACAATTCCATCTATTTTAGCGGTCTTGGTGAGGATGAGAAGGATGATATATTAATTTTTGATATCAAGACAGAGAAGATTGAACGACCGCACCAGTCTGTTTCTTCGTCGCTGCAATACTCTCGTGCGCGATGGTTCTTGCCGGGTTTCACCCACAAGTGTTGATCATTATTTTGTGTTGTGTTACTACTTAAGAGGTTGGTAGGAGAATTTTGTTTAGATGTCTTTATTAGACAAAGAAGAAAGGATTATTCTAGATATGGCTCTAAAACTAGTCAAGTTGGTGGAAAAGAAACTGAAACTCCTTAGAGATGATTTTTCTACCCATCGACACAAAATACCAGAGTATATCTTCCTCTTCACCTCCAAGTTACTGCAGTTTATGTAGCTTTAGATGTTTTAACTATACTAATCACATAAAATCGTCATGAGCATTTTTCAACAATAGCGTGACTAAAAATCCAATAACTCTGTTTTGCGCTTTGAATTCTTGGTCAAAACATAGAAAATTCGAAATTAAGAGGTCGGCCTCTTCAGGAGGAAGCAACGAGAAAAAAAAAAAAAAAAACACAGTGATTTGCTATTTCATATTTTTATCTGTTCTTACCCATAAAAAAGGCCATCCATGGGCTATAAGTTAAGGCCTTGTCCAGCATATGTGGGCCGAAACTAAACTCGTTTCACGCGCTACGAAGATATGCGCGTGAACTTGAGAATCTGAGAAACGACTGAGCTACAACATTTTTAAGAGTAATCGGATTCTCTCTCTCTCTCTCTCTCATCTGCGACGTATAATTTTTTTCCCAATTTCTCAGAGAAAACTCAAATCACCACCACCAAAATCGCCGCCATGTTCAAACAAGCTTCTCGCCTCCTCTCTCGATCCGTCGCCGTCGCATCGTCCAAATCGGCGACGACTCGTGCCTTTTCAACGGAGGTTCCATCGACGCTCGATTCGACTTTCGTCGAGTCATGGAAGAAAGTCGCACCGAACATGGACCCGCCGCAGACTCCTTCCGCCTTCATGAAACCTCGTCCTGCGACTCCTTCTTCTATTCCGACGAAGCTCACCGTCAATTTTGTCCTCCCTTACGCATCTGAGCTTAGCGGGAAAGAGGTTTGGTTTCTACCATTTTCTTCGATCTTTTGGCCCCATTTTGTTTTTTTTTAGGGTCTGATCTATAATATCGTCATTTTTGTGTGGATACGTCTGTATATTGGATAACAGCCCCTTTGGTTTGTGATTGATCTGTGAATTTGTGAAAAAATCTCCAATAGCATTTCGGGTTTGTTCCACTATTTGTTACGCTGGTATATGATTCATCCCAAGGTATGTAAATGTGCTTAATTAGGTTTTAGGACCTTTGATTTTGGTTAGATCTGACGGCGCTCAATTTTAGGGTTTTGATTGTGGTACCTGAGACTAGCAATGGTTGATTTTTACATTAAAATGTCAATAACTTACAAAATCATATAATCATCTTACAGTTCGCAGGTTAACCATGTGTTCACTATCTGAAATTGTTGCTTTGTATTCATCACTAAAAAGTTGAGAATAGTCTATATTCTCCGTTGATCAATTCATTGAAATGGGATACTTTGAATTGTGACTCTTAAAAGAGGTCTGTTATTGAAATCCTACTCATAGAAATGATCCCAAATATAGTGTTCTTCTGGCTTTTTTTTATTGGTTTCAGTTACTATGGTTTTCACATATAATGTCTATTCATATATGATCTATTCTCCTATTGATATATGATGGGGTATATGTGTAGATTGAATGTTGATTATTCTGTATTAATTTTTATCAGTTAATCTCTATAATCAGTAATCATATAGTATTCAAATTGTCGTAGCAGATATTGACAAATAGTATGTTGTAGATGGTGCATTTGCTGTGTGTATCTCTTCTTGTAGAATGCAACACTGGCATATATCTTGCCAGACTTATTTCCTGATCCGTTTTCCAACTATCTTGTAGCTGCGCTATCATCTTCAGATTCTATTCATACAAAACTAAAACTAACCCCTGATGCTAGAGTTTTGTTTCTTATATCTTTAATCATAACTCAAAGCTGATTGGTTTCTCTTCATCTACTTGAAGGTCGATATGGTCATCATTCCTGCAACAACAGGACAAATGGGTGTGTTGCCCGGACACGTTCCAACAATTGCTGAGCTAAAACCTGGTATCATGTCCGTCCATGAAGGCACTGACATAAAGAAATACTTCTTGAGCAGTGGTTTTGCATTACTCCACGCAAATTCCGTAGCTGACATCATCGCAGTTGAAGCTGTGCCACTTGATCACATTGATCCCAGCCAAGTTCAAAAGGGTTTAGCTGAATTCCAACAGAAACTTACATCTGCTACAACAGATCTTGAGAAAGCAGAGGCACAGATTGGTGTTGAGGTTCACAGTGCTATCAACGCAGCTCTCTCGGGCTAAAAGAAGGGTTTCTCTCTATCTTTCTTCCTTCTTTATATCTTCGACAAAAAGAAAACCTTAATCATTTGGCTTTTTCCAGTGATTAGTGAAGCCCCTTTTTACTGCAAAGGATGGAATAAACTAGAAATTGATTTTCTTGTTTAATTGTGTTTGGACTTTTGTTTGAATAAGTGATTTTGTTTAAAGGGCACAAACCCTAAAAGAGTTTGTTGTGTTCATATCTTTGCACCTTTGTTTTTGGGTATGACTACGTTGGATTTTATCCAAAGGTACCGTTTTAACTTGTCGTTTAATGTGTTTTTCTTTCTATTAAAAGCATAGAGTAATGGTTTTTTTATGTGCGTATACTACAATACTCCACGCTGATTAAAAAACTGGTGCTTTACTGAGTAACATACATTTATTGACTTTTAGAAAATCATATTACAGAGAAAATCATATTACATCAAAGGATTTTTTTGACTTTAAAACAAGATTTACAGGTTAAATGGATGGCCGTTATACTAGTCATTTCAGAAAAACCGAAATGACTTCAAATCTTCCTCTAAACAATTCCAACATTGTTTCATTCATATGTCATATTTAACCAATCATCACTTTTGGAAGTGAAAATAGTCGACACTAAAATAAATTGGAATACAAGGTAAACAACATAGGAAGCGTAAAAGTTATCAGCTGCCATGCTCTTCTTTTTACTTTTTAAACGAGAAACTGCCATGCTCGATGTAAGTGGGTTCATCATAATCAATATGATTTATATCATGATTACAGTATCAAATTTTTTTAAAAACTCGTATCATGATTAATTTTTCAAATTTCGGAGGGTATTGAGTTCGTGAGGAGGAGATGAGTAAATTAAATTAGATGATAAATTTAAGCCCATTACATACACAAACATACAAGGAGAGGTGAGTAGGAGAAAACGAAAAAAAAATAAAGAACAGGATACGCAAATTTTCTGATCCCTTGCCAAATAGCCAACATGGTCTGATTCTGACCCTGAGGTCTTAAAACAGAGCTATGGATTTGTCATAATTTAGAGTGGTTGTTCCGCCATGGACAACCTCCTTCGAATGCATTTTCCAGTACGTCCTCCATTCTCTTTGCCAATATCACCTGTTTCCACCATTCATACCAATTTTAGAACTTTTCAAAAACATTACGGACCAAACTGGGCCGGAGTAGCATAGAGAGCAACATTCTTACCCACAATGCAATACCAATAACAAGACTAGGATTGAAGTTAACAACTTACCTCCAGACTGGAAAGTACAGCGGCGGGTACTTCAACTAAGTCTTTTGAGTTTCTCTGCGGTAGAATCACTCTCTTGATACCATAACGGTGTGCAGCCAATATCTGTCCATCAAGTTAACATGGCCCTCTTAAAATATATATTTATCTATCCAAGGATTGTTATAAAAACCATGAAAGATGGTACCCAAATTCGGGCTTTTTACAAGATATGAAGCTTCGGGATGCTAGAACGAAAGGCAACTTACCTTATCTTTGATGCCACCAACAGGTAGGACGAGACCTCTAAGTGTCATCTCTCCGGTCATGGCTGTGTCTGCTCTTACTCGTTTCTGACTGAACAACGAAACCAGAGCAGTCACCAAAGTCACTCCTGCTGAAGGTCCGTCCTTTGGTACTGCACCAGCAGGAAAGTGAATGTGGATGTCTCGACCATCAAGAACATTCATATCTCCTGCAAGTGCCAGCTTGAAATCCGATGCACGGGCTCTTACCTAAAAGACATCAATACACAATCAGGTTAAGAGTTCTAAAGTATCTTATATGTTCTGAATAGTAGATGCAGTCGAATAGGAAATGTTAGCAATCTAATGAGTGAAGCTTCAAGTGAAGATGTTTTACCCATGTAAGAGCTAATTGAGCAGATTCTTTGATAACATCTCCAAGTTGACCAGTCAAATGCATTTCTCCCTTGCCCACCATAGATGTAGCCTCCACGAACTGGACCTCTCCACCAAAGGTAGTCCAAACGAGACCCACCGAAACGCCAGCTGAGGCCACTCGATCAGCAGCTTCACTGTCATCAAACCTTGGAGGCTGCATTGCACCCAATAAAACAGCACGTGTTAAATTCCCCAAAAATTTCACGTTTGTATCATAACACAACCACTGCAGATTATATTCCGTGATACAAATATTTAGATGTGAACAGAGCAGAGAAAAGCTTTACCCCTAGGATTTTCTCAAGCATAGTCTCATCCACTACCAAAGCTGAGGAACTCTGGAAGGTACCTTCAATCTCATGATCATTTACACCCATTGGAATAACTTCCATTTCCACTTCGCCTCCCTCAGCCATTCTACCATTAAGCAGAGGAGAGGTAAGTTTCTGCACATCTTTGCTCAACGGAAGAGTTTGTTCATGCTCTGCAACCATCACGGCAGCTGCACGAGCCAAAGCAGCCAAGTTTCTCTCTAGACTACGAACACCAGCTTCCCTTGTGTACCTCTGAATTATATTCTTTACCATAGCCTATGGCGAGCATACGAAAAAACTGCATAAGTGCACGACGCAAGAGAATTATTGGCAATACATCAAAACATTTAAAATAATAATCTACCTCTGGAATCTTGAGGAACTCGGAACTAAGCCCATGCTGATCTAGAACTCGAGGAATCAGATGGCGCATAGCTATCTTAAGTTTTTCCTCTTGTGTATAACCTGGCAACTCAATTAGCTCCATCCTATCTAGAAGCGGTGGTGGAATAGGTTGAACCCTATTTGCAGTGGCAACAAAAACCACCTTCGATAAGTCATATGGGACATTCAGATAGCTATTTTTTCAGTTAAGGTAACCGTTAAGTTCATAAAATGGAGTGGCGAACTAAAGCAAGTATCATCTGTGCATCTATGAAAGAATATGGTTGTTTCCTAAGAGTAGGCGAAAGTACAATTTCTAGATATAAAATTTATCCAAATA